GCGGCAACATGCTGAAGACACGCTTTCTACTCGTTCGTAGTCAATCGTCGAAGAAGCTCTTTAAAACCCTGTGTAAGCCCTGAGACTTGCCGTTGAGAACATGTGGAAATTTCTACGGAAGCGCAGTGCCGCAGTAAAAATGCCCGACTCGCCCGACTCATCGAAAGCAAGTTTCGCCGCCACGATGCAACGCGCAGGTCACGAGTGACCCGCGCGTTGCATCATTGGACTTTTTCCATAATGCAACGTGCGGGACCCTTGTGACGTCACATGTGACGTCAATTGTGATGTCATTATAGGAAACGTCCCATAATGCAATGCGCGGGTCACGAATGAGACTGCACATTGCATTATACGACGTTTCCCATAACTGAACGCGTGGTTACGCCGACGGCGACGTTGGCGTCGCCGACCCGCGCGTTGCATCATGAGACGCTTTCCATAATGCAATGCGCGGGTCATGAGTGAGACCCGCGCGTTGCATTATGGGACGTTTCCCATAATGCAACGCGCGGTTACGCCGACGGCGACTGCGACGGCGATGCCGCTCAAGCCGGAAACGGGCGTCTAAGAGCTGCTCTCTAAAAAATTAATAGATGTAAACCAAATTGAATTTTCATTCCACAGCCATGTTTGATCCCGTCTTTTTTAACAAAACTGAAATAAGCCTTTGTTAACTGGTTCAAGGATGATGCGGCGTTAATACTAGGCCAAGGATAATATTAGGTGTCACCTTTTAGCATATTGAAGACATGTCCAACCTAACGGTCATTTGTAACCATCATATAGTTTCTATATCAGCGAAAAAGCCATGTCGGTTACATATCAAAACTTGCATGGCTCGAATGGCCTGTGAAAGCAGCGAGAAAACGACGTCGGTCAGTCATCGAAAACTCCGTGGCTGAACTGGCCGGTGATTACAAAGAGAAAACGATGTCGGCCAGTCAGCGGAGACTCCACGGCTAGACTGGCCGCTGACTACAGCAAGAAAACGATGTCGGCCAGTCACCGGAAACTCTATGGCTAGAGTGGCCAGTGACTACAGCAAGAAAACGATATCGGCCAGTCACCGGAAACTCCATGGCTAGGCTGGCCGGTGACTACAGCAAGAAAACGATGTCGGCCAGTCACCGGAAACTCCATGGCTAGACTGGCCAGCGACTACAGCAAGAAAACGATATCGGCCAGTCACCGGAAACTCCACGGCTAGACTGGCCGGTGACTACAGCAAGAAAACGATGTCGGCCGGCATCGGGAACTTTCCGGCTGGCGCTGGCCAGTTTAGACAACGAGTCCCCGATATCGGCCGGGATCGGTTTCTTACCGGCGTCCCTGGCCGGGATCCGCCGTACAGCTCCCGGTACTGGCCGACGTAATCCCAGTATCGGCCGACATGGTGTGCTACCTGGGTATATGTATGCACATGTTCAAGAACCCCATCAAAGAGAGTGTGTGTTAAACTCTGCTGAACTTCGCTTAGTACTAAAACTGTGACTTTTTTTAAATTTATCTTCATTAGCCACATTAGACATCAGGCTTCAATTGTAATCAAGTCGTTCTGAAGTTCAATACAATCATGAATGCTGCATGGTTTTCTGTAAATCACACAATCATCTGCATAAAAAAAAGATTGTGAACTGGATAGTAGCGGACAAGTCGTTTACGTACAAAACGAGAAATAGTGGGCCCAGCACGGTTCCCTGTGGTACTGTTAATTTAACTTTTCGATGACATTACGATTCGCGTTCATAGCAGACACTTTGCGAGCCGTCGACGAAGAAGTTCAATTACACAGTATGTCATGTGGTTCTATTTCCAAAGCGCGTAAATAAAAAAGACAACGTCGATGTGGTACCCAGTCAAAAGTTTTTAAAGTCCATAAAATTGCGTGGATTTCTGTTTTAGACTGAAGGTTCTGATGAAGGTCCGTGACAAATTCAAAGAACTGAATTTCGCAAGAATGATACCGCCGAAAACAGTGCTGGTTTACAAAGAGCAAGTTGTTGTCCGACAAATGATCCACAATATTCCAGAAAATTGCATGCTCCCTCGGCTGACTAGGTACGTTTGTCAGAGACATTGCTCTATAATTCGTAAACTCATTTCTTTGACCGGTCTTAAGAAGTGGGGTGACTTTTGCTTCTTTCCATATTGCAGGAATTTTACACGTACGTAAGGGTTGTTGGAAAAGTAAACACAGAAGAGAGGAAGCTTCTTATTTGCAGAGCCTAAGCACTTGCGTTGAAATAATATCAGGGACTGGAGCTTAACTTGGTCAAAGATTTTCTGTTAGTTTCTGAATACCAGTCGCACACATAGTATTTGCAGCCGTATGAGTTAGTATACAATCTTCAGGTAAACAAACTAGCACGTGAAAGGTCTCATCTAAAGACATTTAACTAATCAAAAAAAATTTCACAAAAAGAAATTGCAAAATCGTTAGCACAGGTAAACAGCATCCAGCTCGTTTCCTGAGAAATCAGTAAAGTGAAAGGGATTGGAAGTGTGCTTGGGGTTAACTGCAATGCAAATTATTTTGAGTTAGTTTTAATAAGGCCCCGCAGGTGTTCAATAAAGGATTAGAAGAGCTAATTTTTCGCTTTCATTATTTTATTTACACACATTTGGTTGATTTCGTCATACTTTGCAAATGTAATCAAAGAACGCGATATTTCAGCCTGCTTGTTTGGCGCTAGGAAACAGCCGCTACCACACACCTGAATTGATTCTAAAATCCCCAGGACGTCTTGGGGAATGAAGCGATCAGAAAGCAGGCGGAAGCAAGTATACAGCGTAGACTGTCAGTTCAGCTTGCACCACGTTGCAAAAGACGCTAGAGGGAACTGCAGGTGCTAACTAAATTTTACAGTATACACGAACTCATCTCAGTGACGTCACGGCGCGGTGGTGGCGCGTCGGTCGCACTTCCGGTCTGGGGCTGTGGGCAGAAGTCCCATGCCAGACGTGTATTCCTGCGTTGTTTTGAAAGGAACCAGACTAAAACCTAACTTCTCGTCAAAACGCCGCGACTGGGGCCGTACCAAAAGTGTCGAGAAAGGTTTGAAGGTCAGTTTTCACGTGCTCGGTTTGTCCGAGAGTCTGGATATGTGCCGTGAAAAGGGAAAAGCAGACGCCGTCGGACAACGATTGCTTGGGCGGGAAGCGCTTGGGGTTGAATTCACGGACACTTGTGGCCGTCAGATTTATTTGTTTTGTTCTAACATGAACGCGAAAAAACTGTCAAGTTGTGGGGACCACCTCGGGACTACGTTCAGTGCGTCTTCAAGTTCAAACGGCCGCCTGATTGTTCGAATTGTCGTCTGCTCTTTCAAACGTTTCTGCTTGTCGTCTGCTCTCTTAGACGACGCCCGTCCGTAGACCAAATGTTGGCGCGGTACTTGCGATAAGAAGTGAGTGCAGGCCTCAAAAGACTTAAATTTGAAGGTTGGTAAGTAGGCTGGATGTAAACAGAAAATACGAGGAGATGTTGGTCATTGTTACCAGTGACCAACACCGACTTGTTATGCCTAATTCAGTTGGTCCGATTCTGCTTTAGATTTTCAGTATCGACGTCGACCATCTCAGCTACGGTTCACGCTTTTGCCGCCCGAGCGGCGTCGCGACTGAAAATTCTGAGCGAAATTTCATCATGCTAATCAGGCTTTAGCGTACAATCTGCGGCGTCCGCGCGGAATGAATCGCCGCATGTCACATTATTCACGCGAAGTTTTGCGGTGTAACGAGCCTCGGTAATTTCGCTGACGCCGCTCAAGATAGTCAGACATCGTTAGGAAGACGTAGAACAAACAATTCGAACGCGAAAAAGGGAAGGGGGACTCACACCGACGCCGACAACATCGCATTTCAATGGTTTGTTTATGGGCGACGGCGAACTTTTTGCCCACACCCCCATCGCGCATGCGCGGCGCCGGTGGCGTCCGCTAGGGGCGCTCCGGGCGCTGCGGTTTGTTTGTAAACATGAGTTGGTGTATAGAAATAGGGTTGCATGAAAGAAAAAAAAACTGAGCAGAAACAACTTATACGATGTCGTAGATTCCAAACATATATCGGCGATTTCATTTTCCTCCTATAGGGCTAAATCGTTGTCAGCGAATGAAGAACATCTTCATAAAATAAAGGGTGGAAAATACTCCCCGTGTCAAGTTTTCTAGCCACAGTCACTAGTTGATGTCGTCCCGTAGCAATTTCCGGCCCTTCAAACGCTCTAGCACATTGAATAGTGGCATATCCGGCGACGCCTCGTCACACACGAACGAAGGTAAACAATCAAGATGGCGGAGTGTTCCAAGCGTTGGGCCCGCCGTCAGCGCGGTGTGATAGGGTGGTCGGACAACACATCGGCCAACACGGATTCCGGGTGACAGCAATGTGTTGCCCTGCTGTTCTTGTTGCCGCGATGTGAGAGGGTCACCAGAAACGCGTTTTTCTTGTGTTGCCTCAGTGTGACCGGGACTTAAGGGCGTCGAATCAATCAACATTGTAATCGTTCTTTCGGTTCAGTTCGTTTACGACGGACGTACTATTACTCTAAAAAGAAAAATTATTTGTCATGTTTAATGATTTCAGCTACCGTTTGGTAAAGGCTTTGATGTTTCTTCAATTCGGTATAATGCACATAATTTGTTTATAGCGATAATAAGAGCACAACCACAATACAATGTATTTTCGTTGTGAACTTGCAGCCTCGTTTCCTCTCCAATGACAGGGGAGCTGCAAGTTTCTTTCAACTATCCCTGACAGCTTAAAGAACATGGTGCCGGTATTATGGAAACGCTTTTAGCGTCGTCATTCGTTTGGTGAATTTAGCTGCCTTTTAAGTGAACTACGATTGAAGTAACTACGATTGGAAGTAACATCCCCGTTAACTGGCAAACGATGCATTCAAAGTTAGGGTGAAATAATAGCATAGGAAATGTCACGGGTCCAAAGGAAAATAAAGGTTCGATGATGCCAGCGCCTAGGAAAGTTCAAGCAAATACTTACTTCATAACAAATTCCATCTGCGCTTCACTACAACTTGAAAACGCAAAAGGCGGTCCACGTTTCGCTGCATGACTCATAATGTATTGATCTGGGTACTTGCAGCCAAGAGCACCAGGATGATTCTGGATTTTTGTCAAGGGACCACTTCCATCGTGCGCGCTCCCGAGCCTGCGAAGATAATGTTCATGCTAAGAAAACCATCTAATGCACAAAACTATAATCAGAGACAAATTAACAAACGCAAAGCAAGGCTCATTATGGTCACGCTTCTTATCGGCCCATATCGCATTGTCCATAGCGATGATAAAAGGCATGGGATTCACCAACGGTGACTAAAAAAGCTTTTCCCGGGTGATACGCTGAGCACATGCGTTTATAAAGGAAGCGACAAGATACTTACAAATGCCCAATTTCGTGGGCTATTGTGGTGAATCCATAGAACAGAGGAGGTTCTTCCTCGCAAATTGCCACATTAACGCCTTGGACGCAGATCATTCCGGAATAGGCGATACCTGGAAATAATAATCCATCTGTTGCTTACGAAAAACATTCCATAAAGATTTTTTTCAAGCTGTAAGAATACGTTGTGATGTGAAAATCCCCCTCTTTGGAAAGCAGCTATTTAGAATTATGAGACGTTTAGCCACTTAAAGTTAATGATTAGCCGAGGCATGACCGCTTGTGCAAATGTCTCAAATGCCAAGGAAACAAGCCGTGTCTAGAAGTGGGGCTGCGTGCTTACAGGGACAATTTGTTTTCAGAAAGGTACAAGCAAAGCAAACACACAAACAAACATCTACAGTTACTTTTTTCAGCGCAAAGCTAAATTACGAATTACTAAACGCTCAGTCTTTGGCCAAGTGTAGCGCTCGGTGCTCGAACCTGATGCCAAAGTTTCACAACTTGCTGACTCAAATGTTATGAACAGTTTTAGGAAATTCACAATAAGACGATGGCAGTCGACGAAGTCCAGCAACGCATGAAAATGAGTGGCGTCGGCTACCGAAAACGGGAGTCATTTAGCCAGTGTAAAATTAAAAAAATTGCTTCTAACTTTCGAATTCGCAAACAGTGAGTTTTAAAACTTTGGCATTAGGTTGTACCGTTAGAGCTCCATTTGGAAGGCACTAAGCGTTTGGCAATGCGTAGGCTGTCTTGTCATGAAAAACACTTTTTTTGCGGACACGCGGACACTTGAAGCCTTACAGTTTTACGTAGAATAAAAATGTAGTCATAATTTGTTGTTGATTTTCGCGGTTCGTGTTGTAGCAAGATCACCACGAATATAAGTGAAACTTTCAAGAGATATTTGCTGAATGTGATTTTTATGACCAGCATCTGACGACAACCCTTCATGTCAAATTTTATTTCTGAACTAAGTGGCCAAAACGTGCTTTAAAAAGATTTTTAACTTGACTTTCTCCAACTGCTTCAAAGCAAGAAATGTTAATTTTATTCAATCAAGGTCATCTTCTGTGAAAACTGCTACCAACTTAAAAATCCCACTCAGTGATTCGTGTTACTAACTAGCAGAAACGGCGAATGTCCATCGTTATTAGTTAAACATATCTCGGAAATAATTGGTTAAACTCCGATTTTCTCAAGATTCAGCATAAATGTGTGGTCCGGAGCATCTTCTGACCCCACCCTCTTACCGTTAATATCAGAATATAATTTCTGAGTGTTCTTGTCACGTCTCCCTAAGCTGCGCCTGAAATGCAAATATGAAAATAATAATTATGCGCATTCCTGCTGCTGTGAACATTAATCACGTGAAACGGTGAATGTACATATAGTTTGTGCTTTTTAGGCTTTACATGTCCTTTCTTAGAAAAGCCGTGAAAGCTACATTTATGCTGTCTCTGCAGGTGAGTTACACGGCGATGAGGGCGTAACAAAGAAGCTGTCACGACAGCCTAATACTGACAATTTGAGATCACTGGGATTCGCATAAATAAAGGGTCTTAATATCCTCGGAAATAATACATGAATAACTTCCAGCATGCAGCGCGTATTAGACTAAATTATGCACATCTACCCCTCGTTTTGAGGGGCAACAAAGCTTTTTTACACGTCTCTTGTCGCGTTGCCGTAAAGCCAAGTTAAGCGGCACTTAAAAAAGAGGGCATGTTACAATTTCGGATTGAAATGCTTTTTACACAAGCTTGCTGGAACGAGTCGGACCGAAGTACGAGGGTAGCAAAGGTGGCGATGCAGGCGAGTTTGTTCATCACTAGGTAAGGTAAATGCAGCCCAGAGAAAGACGAAGACAAGGGGGAAACAGATATCAGCGCATATGTGTCCTTTCTTGAACACATATCGGCTAGACAGATATAAACACATATGTGTATGACTAGATACCGCCTCCTAATAACTGAACTATGCCAAAATCAAAATAAAGATGTCTGTTTTTCAAGAAAACATGAAAATGTATTATTGCTTTGAACCCGTAATCTAGATGGTACTAGCATAAAATGAGTGGAACACTTATCTGCCAGTATTACGAATGAAACGCATGACATAAGAAAAACATACCAAAGCTTTGCAGGTCAAGTTGTGGAGGTTAAAACAAATCATCCTCGGGTGTTTTTCACCTAGCAAAGAACTGCCTGCTTACAAAAATTTACTACGCCCAATTTTAGGATATGGGAAGGTTGTTTATGATCGAGTAGACTTTTTTCGGTTTTTTGTTAAGGTTCGTTGTTCTAGCGCTCGTGCTGGGTTCTCTATGCCATTCGTGTGTGCGCTGTCTTTACCTTCTCTTGTGCAAGGACATAGTGAAAACATTCCGGAATCCAACTAAATCAAACGAAGGGAATGTAAATATGAAATCGATTTATCTTCTAGTCTAGTTTTGACGAGCGTTTGAGTGAAACAGCCTCGTGCATTTTTAATCAAAAGTAAAATCAAAGGCCCAATGGTCATATTATATATATACATATATATATATATATCTATATATATATATAAACAGGACAAAAACGAAAATAAATACAGCTTTGGTGCCCTTGATATTTATCGTCTTCGTTTCCAACAGTGAGTCTTTGGGGTTTTGATGCTCCAGCATTGTGGCACACATTAAGCGAAGAATCAGGTTCGCTACACATTGAAACGGGCAGCACATCAGACACTGTAGAGGAAACGTTTTCATGTCGCCCAATAAAGGTGCGTAAAATAGAGGAAGCCTTGGGCATCTCTTGTCACCAGGTAGATAATATTTTACGTAATGAATCGAATTCAAAACAGAAAGCTTTTCGCAAGATGGGTGTCGCATTTTCTTAATGCGTAGCAAATCATCTGCATTCGGTATTTGCTCCGATTACAAAAAACATAGCAGAATGGAAGTTTGAATTCCCTCACACTTTATATTTTTCCGAAAAGTCAATATGTCTTGACTAGAAAGAGATTTCGGTCGAATGAAAAGGTAACAGAGGAATTCAATTCCGTATTTGAGGTCTTTAAACAATTCCGATCCAAGAGTAAATAGAAAAGCTCGAAAGACCTCGCACCAAGTGCGTTCATCCTCGAGGGGATTCTGTTTTCAAATACCACAACTTGAAATGGTTTTGTTTTCATTCCATATTCGTTTCGGAAACATTTCGATATATCCTACTGTACTCCCAAGAAACACTACTAGCACAACGGCTTCCGTGTATTGGTAAAATGTTATTCTGCTTCGAAAAAATTAAGGACGTAGTTACGGGGATCACACAATATGGGGTAAAGTGTCGAAGGCGGCTCGAGTATTCGACACGGGAACTCAGTGATCACTCGAGATTGGCTCGTGAGAAAAAAATAGCTCGACGAACATTTGAGTAGTAGTTTGCGTCTAATCACTGCGGTACAGTGAATCGCCCAACTGTACAGGGTGATTCAAGGAGAGGCCAGGCTCTTTAAATCGACCGCAAAATTCGGTTCCTTATCCTATCGTGCTACGAGTTTTTGCAGCGTTGGCCACAAATGGTGCATTTTTTTGTAAAATTTGCAAAGAGCGAATTGAACTGAGGGAAAACTAAAGAAAGAAAAAGGCTTTGCGCCTATGGAAACGCAGCGACGCCACCGGTCTTCAAATAACACGGCGCCGTTTCGCACAGCAGAAAAGAGATGGCGCAACGAACGCCGCCAACGAACGAGCATACGGCGCCGAGAGCCGGCGTCTTTAGCAAACGATCTTTTCGACTCAAAAGCGGACCGCATTCCGCAGGCGGCGACAGCGTAGAAAGTAGAGTTCCTTGTTTGCTAAAGATGTCGTATGCTCGTTCGTTGGCGGCAGTTGGCGTCGCGACCGCTTGCGCCATCTCTTGTCTCCCGTGCGAAACGGCGCCGTGTTGTTTTAAGACCTGTGGCTTCGCTGCGTTCCCATAGGAGCTGAGCCTTTTAGAGCGCAGCTCTTAGGGGCCCATTCCCGGCTTCAGCGGCGTCGCCGTCGGCGTAGTAGAGGTCACCCCAAGGTTATGAGACCCCCAAGGGCATCAAAAGGTCACCGCACGATCACGTGACCACGAAGGTCATCCCAAGGTCACGTGACCCCCAGAGGTCGGGTGACTCCCCAAGTCACGTGACACCCCCAGAGGTCACGTGAGGTCACGTGACCACCCCGAGGTCACGTGACCCCCTCAGGGTCACATGAACCCCTCCTCCGAGGTACCGTGACCCCCCCGACGACGTCATCGACACTGATGAAGTTACCGTCATCCGCATCGTCATCGTCATCATCACTGATGACGATGCGATGCCGTCATCGTCACTGATGATGTCATCAGTGACGTCACACCGGCACCCGCATCGTCATCAATGACGTCATCGGTGACGTCACTTATGACATCACCGGCATCCGCATCGTCATCGTCATCATCACTGATGACGTCATCGGTATCTGCATCGTTATCGTCACTGATGACGTCAGCAGTGACGTCACTGATAACAACATCGGCATCGTCACATCGTCACTGATAACGTCATCAGTAACGTCACTGATGACGTCACCGGCATCCGCATCGTCATCAATGACGTCATCGGTGACGTCACTTATGACATCACCGGCATCCGCATCGTCAGAGTCATCATCACTGATGACGTCATCGGTATCCGCATCGTTATCGTCACTGATGACGTCAGCAGTGACGTCACTGATAACGACATCGGCATCGTCACGTGACCCACCCACCTAGTACCCTTCCCTCCTCCTCCTCAAGAGCTGTGCTCAAATTCGGTGTTATAGGGAGTTGTAAACGGCTTTCACTTTTTTCTTTCTTTACTTTTTGCTCGGGTAAGCTCGCTTTTTTGTGAATTTTATAGAAAAAATGCACCACCTGTGGCCCACGCCGTACAAAATCGGAACGCGATAGGATAAGAAACCGAATTTTGCGGTCGATATAAAGAGCCTGGCCTTTCCTTGAATCCCCCTGTAGTAATACTGCACCGGCCTTTGCCAAGGTTGTGACACTTGCCTGCCTCGAATCCGTAATAGAAGATCATGTGGCCACTTGTTCCGGCAACGAGTTGAAAGCTAACTGTGCTCGTTTCTGTACGAAAAACAAATTCTACGCCTGCTTTTGAGTTGAAATAAAAGCTAATTCGTTTTGAGAGGTTATGGAAGTCAAAGATATGATCTCAGCAGTGCGTAATTTATTGTTAAGTCCGAAAATTGTCGCACGACCGCCGTATTCTATCACATATCCTTCGGGAGCATTGAATCGCCATAAGGAACTAGAGCATGTTATCTCTGCCTCACGGCACAACTAGACCTCGGGCTGAATTACGTGATCTTGCTTACCCAACGAGCATCACGTAGAAATCGGCGGGCCTTGCGAACGTGGTGCTTGCAGTGTATGGTCCAAAGGCTCTTAGTGAGTCGATCGCTGCGACTAGGTTATCTTCCTCCACAATAAAATACTCATCTTCTTTCGTCTGTAAACATAAAGAATTAAACGAGAATATTTATATTTTATTACTTTTTCAATCACAAATTAGACCACCGTTGAAAATGGTGCTTGGTTATCATCGAAAAGTAGTACTTCCTAGATGCAATGATGTTTCTAGGTCTAATTGTTCGTAAAATTGTGCAATACTTGGCATTGAGTCTTCTAAGTAAAATAAGCTAAAAGAAACATACCGACCTTTTGGAAAACGAATTAGAAAGGAGCTAGTTTTGTTTTTACAACGCCATCTGTCATTACAAAAATAAAAAAATGTACAAATATGAAATGTAAAACGAATGGTTACTTCGAAATAAAGCCAACGGCTTTGACTGCGCGAACAGAAGCGATTTGGTTAGACAAATCCCCAATTGCTTTTGATTGGCACTATCACATTGAGTCATATGTCATTCTTTTCTTATTCATTTACACAGTGTTATGTAATCGCGACATTAAAACAGTGCAAGGTCATGGCCCAAATAAGTCGTTTCTTTGATACCGTCACCGAACCATAGAACACTTCTTCGCAACACAGACCGACGCTCCTTTCTTACCTTGTTCGGGGCCCCAACATACCATCAGATATAAGATATGTGTACAGGCACGCACTAGCACCCTTCCCCTCCCCTCCCTCCTTTTGGGTTTGTTCGAAACTATTTTTCTGCATTCGATTAGAGGGATACCATCTGTTTGCGACAAACGTACCTTGGTTTTATTTCTCACACATCACACACTGGTACAAAGAATCGACTGCAACTTTTGTCACACACTCATTTCTCCGACTAAAGCTCTCAGCAATGCCTATATTTCATAAAAAGCTTGAGCATAGTTCAAAAATTAAAAAAAAGCGAAATGACGACACTGTGAAGACGTACTTCATTCTCCCCCAGCTTTCTGACTTTTTTAGCCCACTTGCGGCCTCGCGCACGTACGGCTCCCCGGTTTCCAACTTGAAGCAAGATGACTCTTGTTTGGACCTCGTCTCTGTCGATGAAATGAACGAACGCGAAGCGTATCGGGTGGGATCTTCCCGACGTGGCTTTAATTTTTCGTTGCCATGCCTCCAAATGGATGTTGGTTCTGGATCTCCTGTTTCCGTGATGGTGCTACCGTTCCGGTGGAAAATGCCCTCATTCAAGTCGCTTCAAAGTAATCAAGTAATCCAATAAGCTCCGAAACACCGAGCAATATACGCACCGACGCAGAAACGCTCAGGGGCGAGGGATGTCAGAAGGCGAAACAAAGGAAAATGCCGCGAGCTTATGAATGACGCCCTTAGCTGGCGGTTTCTTGAATATGCGCTTTGGAGCCCAGCCCCCTGAACAGAAGCCCACATTTTTTGCGCTAAAATGAAAATGGCGCTTGCGATGAGCAGCTTGAGAAAACACGACACGCAGACCACCAAAAAGCGCCTGCTCAAAATCCGTCATGAAATTTTCAGGGGTCAAGGAAGGAATCCCAGCAAATGTGAATGTAATTATAGCCCTTCAAACGCACGGGCAAAAGTTTGTAGCTAGCCGACCCGACAACAGAAATCAAACGGCTGCGCTAGGCACTCCGTCAATTACAACATGCAGAATTACAAGTTGGTCACACATGTAAGGTACTATCGGACAAAAATTAAATGCGAACAGAGGAGCGCGTGGCTCGCGGTACAGGCTGCGCCGCCTGGAAGTGAGCCTAGGGGCGAGGGTGCGTGACCTACTTCGATGTGTTCACGCCCCTCGATTGGCGCTCCCCCAGCTTCGGCAGTGCGCCTCTCAGTGCGTTGAAAGCTGTCACCGCTATCTTTGCCTGCTCGGCAAATGCGGCGAGCTTCTTTGCACCGCACGCGCTGAGCCAGCAAGGATAGCGGTGATAGCTTTCAGCACACCAAGAGGCGCACTGCTGAAGCTTGGGGAGCGCGGATGGAGGGGCGTGAACACGTTGGAGTAGGCCACGCACCCTCGCTCCTGGGCTCACTTCCAGGCGGCGCAGCCTGTACCGCGAGCCGCACGCTCCTCTGTTCGCATTTCATTTTTCCCCTATAGTAGAACAAATAAAGTCTCGTCCGGAAAAAAAAAATAATTTTAACTGACGACAGCCGTTGCATGCCATCTCGTGTTGCGAAGGCAACTATTCAACACGAGGGTATCAGCGGTCGTGAACGATCAACGAGGTAGAGGGGCTTAGAGTGATAAACCGGAAGTTCGGAAGTGGCACCCCCCCGGTTGCCGCCATATTTTACGCAAATGTGACCACTCGTCACGTGACCTCCCAAGAGCCGTGACGTCACAGGTAAGATGGCAGCGCCCAGAGCTGGCGGATGCGAGTTTGTTCGGTGCGCGGTAGCCGTGATGTGCAGCTGCTTTCCGACGACTTCGGGCTTCTTCGTGCTCGCTGACGCAGGTATAATGTGAAAATATGAAGGAATGAGACTTTATACCGTTTTTGCGCAAGATCGCTCTGGATCATCTGGATATTAACGCCTGTGAGACAGCATCAGCTCTGCATCGCCGTACCGGTGCTCGGATTCCGGGATGTGTCCGAGGACCGATAGAACTTTGAGTGCTTTTAACATGAAATTTTCGCATTCTCTTAGCTTTGTTTGAACGTTGAAATATCTGAGAATCTACGCGAAATGTATACGTCGCGTTATGGCCTAAGGGAAGTTGTTTCAGCCCTCCGTCACCGAACAACCATAGCAACTTTTAGCGAGGAAGCTCCTGCGATTCTTTTGTGCTAATCCACAATTCTACGTTCGATCGCTTTTCTTCCTTTTTTGTGTGTGTGTGAGTGCGAAGTGCACCCTTGTTTTCAGCTACGAGGATGGCGTTTTATTGAGTATGGGGAAGAATAAATCGTTGCAGGCACCTGCTTCAAAGCTATTCGACTTGCTCTAAGAACAACTGTTTTGGTGCATGCATAGATTAACTGCGCATTTTTTCTGTTTTGTAGGATTTATTGCAGCTATACTCTTTTCCATCAAGAGTGCATTGTATTAGTCGGTCAATTATTTACTTGGTCTAATTACCTGGATAAGATGATTCATATTTGTGTTCATCCCTTGCCTGGAGAGCAGTCTTGTTGAAAAATGTTGACTACCATTCCTTTCGGTCTCTTCAATAGACTCTTTTTAAAAGTGTGGGCTGTCTATACTTCGCATCACCGTAACTTGGAAAAGGCCAACCGCCACAGCCCCCTCGAGCCAATCAGAGAGACGGAGCGAAGGTGTGTGACAAATCTGTGCAGACGAGCACTCCGGTGATATGCTGTCATGTGCCTCTCTCCAATGTGTGTATTGACTCACCGAGACCGTAGCCTTTGCCGTCTGCCAAATTCTGATGAAACAAATTACAGTAGCTACTACTGTAATTACCCCAGGCTTTCATACTTTGGGTATTTGCTCGACAAGAATGTTATGTCCGCCATCCCTGTGAATTCGGCTCAGCAACTATTGGACTCGAATGCTGCATTGGCGTTTGACATGAACTGGGGCCCATTCGTGTGCTTTGCGCCGAAAAAAATGGTGACGGTTGTGTTGCTTGAAAAGGTTCTGCAAAGGGTCTATTGTGTCATACATATAGGAAGTGTCATGCTATATAACAATGCATCAACACATACTATTAAACTATATGCTCAGAGGTGTGTTTGTTTTTTCAATTAACAAGTTACAGCAGTGTGCTTTAATGCTATTATCATGTGTGTAGTTTTAAGTATCCTCTCTGCAATGCCTACGAAGGCCCCTGGAAGGAATAAATTAATGAATAACATTTTCACATCACTGCAGTTGGTTTTCGGGTGCACCACATGTTCAGGAAAGGTTGAACGAGTGCAGCCCCTTGCAAGAAGTCTGCCAGTCTGGTATGACCGCTTAATTAATATTGAAGAGTCAGAGAAGCGAGTGTCCTCGTAAGGTCCAGAGCGTGCAATGGACACAATTCTCGGTGTGTAGACTCTCAAGGCATGAAGGCAAGCGGAAATAGGTTTATCTGGTTAGTGTATCAAATATGTTTATTTCCACTTGATTACATAATTATTGATTCTTATTAAATGGTTCCATAACGAGTTCTTTCTGCGACAGTCTCGTGTCAGGCGTTCAGTCGTAGTACCTGTAGACCTTGTTGTCGGATGACGCTCCTGGCACGTCAGTGTTCAGTTTGGTCGAGTGGCAACTTTGACCGACTGATGCTGTCTTGTAATCATACGTCATGTGCACTGAAGCTGCAGGGCTGGCTTCTAATCCGAAAATTTTCCTGGTAGTTTTCGGCATCAATGTAGCAAGCTCGGGCATGTATTGCTTACGTGGCTGTGCCTTTCGCTGTACCGTTGACTTGAAAGCTGGCAACAATTTTTGTTTGCTATCCAAGTCTGGTGATGCTTGCAGTTCACTTTTGAGGGCAACCAACCATTGTATTCCTTCAAGTCACTCAGGGGCATTCTCCCTCAAAGTTTGAAATTGTGTGCTTCGTGGAGTGGACACAGAAAATTGGTGTCAACAAATTTTTAGGTATTGTCCTTGGACGACAACCGACACCAAATTCACTGTCACTGCATCGCCACTCACCTGCTTTGTCGTGCTTACCTCTTGTTGAGGTGATGGACATGAGGAGCTTTGGGGTAATCAGGGATTCAGAATCTTCGATTCAGCACCTTAGGCATCAGGGACAAAGATCGCCGAAGGTAATCCTTAATCTCCCGTGGTCGCTCCTCGAGACGTAATCGAGGGTCGTTTTGCACGAGGCCTCGCCGACCAATTCATTGGTACGGGCTGCTTTGGTAGACATGGTCGGCTTCATGCAGTGGTAGCAAAGTGGTTTTCGGTCGCACATTCGCATCACCTACGTTTTCCTCGGTGTACTTTGTTGAGCACAGTCCTACACACAATGTCGGGAATGCTTCGGCGTTAGAGTGTCTCATTGAATTGGCATTGAATACTAAGGGGCAGCCGGTGGTGGTCGTCGTGCCATTGTGGCGTAAGTTTCCCTTGGTTTGTCAGATGCCGCTTCGCTC